GGAACGCAAACCAGCCAATACAGTTAGAGGGGAGTGTTCCGGCGAGTAATTTTCAGTAAGGGCCAATTTTGGGTACTTCTGAAGTAAATCCCATCCAATATCTATAGTATAGTTGGTTCATCATATAAGCAGCCACAAATCAAAATATACTATAATTGATTATATATATATATATTTCAAAATGATGTCAAAATTACCAAATTTATTTATGTGGAAAAAGCACTGGGAAATAATTTCAGCGCCATCGCGGCCATTATTGTCTTTCGTCAAAACATGGATTGGAGTGCGAGAATAGAGAAAGCGAGCTATTTGCCGGTGGCCCAAAGCATAAGCGAATAAAACTGGAGTGACCATATCGCCTCCGTTGATAAAACGCATGGAAACTAAATTCTCGTTCTTTTGAACCATACTGGCAACGATTGGGGCCATTCCTTTAAGCATAGAAAAAAGCTGTGAATCCAAGCTCATCTTTACTTTCCAAGTCCTTTTCTGTCATCAGCTTCAACAACTCTTCCACAATGTCTAACTGCTTGCTCTCGATTGCCTCGTGAAGAGCTGTCCCGCGGTTTGATGAACCTCTATGTGTTAGTGCCTCGGGGTGTCGATCAATAAACTCCTTTGCAGCATTCCAATCACCACGCTTCAAACTATCGTACAAAGGATCATACTTCACATCTCTCTCATCATTATTATTATTATTATGCCCTGTTTCTTAGCAAACATAAAAATAAAAATTATTTAATATATCAAAACATATGTCTATAAAATAAATTAAAAAAAGACCCTTTTCCTCTTAACATCCCGTTTAATTTACATTTTTTTTTTAAATTTTTTTTTTGAGTTACAACAAACCTACTAATTGGTGCCATGGGAGGGCTTCGAACCTCAGACCCCAGCCCAACCACCTTACCATCATGATAAAGACCCATTGGCCTGTCTCTCTCTTTTATCATTCCTTATTTTGACAAAGAGATATATGCGTATCTGTGGCATCACTTTCACAGCTAGACTTTACTATAAAATAAATATCGCGCAATATTATATATTATTATACCTATTTTGTGGGCATGGTTGATTGGAGAATGAAAAATAAACTTGACAAGAATAAAAGAAAAAACACCACCCCAGTAAATTAATGCCCAGATATATACTCTAAAACTAAAGAGAAAAAGAATGCTACACCATCAATAACAAAACCCATTTACCCAAAAAAATTAAAATTAAAGAAATATCGCGCAATATTATATATTATTATACATATTTTGTGAGCATGGTTGATTGGAGAATGAAAACTAGTAAACAAAAATAAAAGAAGAACAGAAGGCAACAGAAAATAAAAGAAGAAAAGAATCCAACAAACAAACCTCAAAATTCAAAACTGAAAAACCCCATCATAGAAATAAAACCAGCAATATACATGCAGTAATTAAGGAGTCCATAAAATTAATTACTGCTGGAGGGTAAAACGGGCATTATAAAATTTTGAGGATGAGACCCAAAACAATCATCAGTTGCGGAACCATTATTTTATTTTTATATGTAGGAGGGCAACATATAAATATATTTTAAAAAATTTAAATCTTTCAACCTTAACACCATGCCTGAAAAGAAAACAGAAAATCCAGTATGATTATACCTTCTTCAGAATGAGAAGGCTTTAGCTCTTCAGCCAAAGCATCCCAGGCAGCTTTGGCTTTGGAAATGCCCTCGATTATAGGGTAAGTATCATCCCCGCAACACGTCTGAATTGCAAGTAGAGCCTTGGCATTATTCTTCCTCCAAGACCTAAACGCAACCTCATCATCTTCTGGTTTAGGTGGTTCAGTGGTTTTTTCCACAACGTCCCAAACATCTTCAGCTAACAGGTACACTTTCACCCGGAAACTCCAATATTTATAGTTACGATGGTTAAGAAGTTTAAGATTAGGAATCAGGGAAACTGTAGCTGCCATGTTCAGTCTGCGGAGCTAGAGCTAGCTTGTAAATTCCCCTACTATATAGACAAACTTACTTGTGATTTATAGACAGCAAATCAGCAAAGACCAAAAAAGATGCACCTCTGTTGGGCATGTGAACATAGTAATTAAAGACATTGACCCAAAAAGTAACGTGGTAAAGAGAGTTCGAGAGTTCCAGTGCAGGAAATTTCGTCGACTTTGGAGCATCTTCAATGCTTGCCAGTGGAGTCCTACCATGCTGGTAGGAGGAGGTGTTTGGCGACAAAAAAGTTTGGGATACTAGAAAAAGGCAGATACCTGTAATTGTGTGTGTGTGTGTTATAAATCTCTTAGAACGAAATGCCTAATTTGCTTTGAAGAACATTCATCTTTTTTTGGGGTTGCTTCAAGCCTGCTCCATCTCGATTCTCGAACCCCTACTTTTTTTTTTTTTTTTTTT